TGGACGTAGGTTTGGTCATGGTTACCATCTAGTGAAAGGAAAACTGGGTCATGGCATGGAAGACTATATAGTGGCCGATACAAAAACAGTTGAAGGACACAATCTTGGGTTATACGCAATATTCGACGGTCACTCAGGCCGTGATGTAGCGAATTACTTGCAGAACCATCTCTTTGATAACATCTTGAGTCAGGTTTCAAAACAAGAATCAATCAATTCTCCACTTTTGAATTTCTCACAAAATTGTTAGCTACACTCTTTTCTCTTGTTGTTTTGTTTGAAGCCTGATTTTTGGAGAAACCCTAAGAAAGCAATCAAGAGAGCGTATAAATCAACGGACGACTACATTCTCCAAAACGTGGTTGGTCCACGAGGTGGTTCCACGGCTGTGACCGCTATAGTCGTTGACGGGAAGAAACTTGTGGTTGCAAACGTTGGAGATTCAAGAGCAATCTTGTGTAGTACTAAAACTGATCATGTGAAACAAATCACGGTTGATCACGAACCCGACAAGGAGAAAGATCTCGTCGAGAGCAAGGGCGGTTTCGTCTCCAAAAAATCAGGTCCATTTTCAACATTTTGATGAATGCTATGTTATCAAAGAAGGGAAAGTAAAAAAACAAGCAATGTATTCAAAATTGTTATGACTAGGTAATGTTCCGAGAGTGGATGGACAATTAGCGATGACGCGTGCGTTTGGAGATGGGAGGCTTAAAGAGCATATTACTGTGAGACCGGACATAGAGATTGTCGAGATCGACGATGACACAAAGTTCTTGATCTTGGCTAGCGACGGACTCTGGAAGGTTTCTATATATAAATGGACTACTTCTTTATTGATGGGATTTGAACACAAGGATTAGACTTAGATCTTGGATGGGTTTGTGTGTTTTCAGGTGGTGTCGAATGAAGAGGCTTGGGATCGAATCGAAGAGATTGGTAACGCAGAGGAAGCTGCGAAAGCGCTAATCAACGAAGCTTTAGCTAGAGGAAGTAAAGATGATATCTCTTGTGTTGTTGTCTCCTTCAATTAATACAAGAATCTCACTCCCCAATGACTAAATCTCATATGAAGAATTTGTTGGAAAATGCAGAAAACAGAAACACCCACACAGATTAGTTTTTTCATTATGATTTACACCCAAAACAATACCGTAAAAACAACAGACAAAAGAGCAATCAGAGCCAGCGAAATACGAGAATTTATATATTCTTTTGGTAAACAAACTCTCAATTAAAGATCTAAGCATGGAGT